TTTTTACTATTTTCAGATTTCTTCCCTCTGGTTTTTATCTATTTTTCTGTTATCATTTTTTTTCTTCTCCATTTATCTATCCTAATTGTTTAACAGAAATCATTATCAGAAGCAATATCACTAAGATCAAGTAAGGTTTATGTGTATTTCTGAAATTTAAAATATTTAAATGCAAATTAACAACAATAAATGTTGTGAGTCTGTAAAATATGGTAGAGTGATTGTGATACTGCAGCTTACTCCTCCTCACAGAGAAATCTGAAGAAATATGGGGAATGGGAACCACAAAAGCATTTGTTTGGCATGTTTTTTATTCTCTCCCATCCTCAATTCTTTTCATTTTATTTAATAGCCACAATCAACTCAGAGTTGTTATGAAGAGCAAATGAGACCTCTGTGTTTATAAAGTATCTGGTACATATCACAGGCATACATTAAATATTATATCCTTGCAAACTCCCCTTATTTCTATTGCAAACTATGGACTTTTAATAAGTTCACATTCCAAATACTTAAAAAACTGTTTATTTGCAAAAAATGAGTGCACATATTATGCTTTTTAATAGCAAATTGACCGTAATAAAATGCTAATAGAATTAAATTTGAAATATTATAATTATTTCATAATTTCCCAAAATAATAACATACATATGTCTTCTACTTTTAAAAAGTTTTTTCCCAGTAACGTTTTCAGTTCTCTGAAAATATAACTGAGCTCAATAGGAGGCTGAAATTAGTGACTGTTTCTTTTCCTTGACTTGCATTTGGTAGATTTGGTATATGTATAAGAACTCAAAAATCTTAAATTTTCATCTGTACTACATGATTGTGGTTGTGAAATGATCTGAAAAAAGAGTGTTTAATTGTGTTACCCTGATAGTATAATGGCATTGCATACTACGAAGACATTTCAAAGTAAGATTTCTCCTTCCCACCAGACAAGGTTAAAAATACCCACTAGTTAATGTAACACTAAAAGGTGAACCTGGCAGAGAAAAAGCATGTGAAACAGAGGAAGTAACAATGGAATGGAACAAACAGAACGAAAGCAATTTCTGGGGTGGACACACATATTTTGAAAATTAAGTTTTTAAAATATTGAAGGTACCCATTAAATGAGTGCACATCTTTGTTGAATGAAAGAATGAAAAAATGAAAGGGTAAAGTAAGAACGTGTTGTGATTATTTAAAATAAAACTATGAATCAAGAATTGAATTTCCCAGAACTCACTGCATGTAATGTGGATGTATATGAAATCATAGGAAAAATGTAACTATGAGGAATTGAAAAAAAGGTTTGCATTAAGAGTAATGGTTATAATGACGTGAACTAGAAAGTGATAGTAGCTCTTACTGTTTACTGCTCATAAGTGATACAATTTCTCTTAATTTAACTTTATGTTTAAAAGTGTATAGTTCTCACTTGAGAGGGTGGGGGTAGTCAAGCTAACTTCTTTTGTCTTTTTATAAAATCCTAGGTCAAAGAAACATTCCAGGTATTGGGGATTTCAAATTTTCCTCCAGGGTTGCAAATATTTAATGATCCATGACTTGGGTTACTCAATATTTTGTGTGCCATGTATGTGAGTCATGGAAGCAAGAGACAAAGCTGGTTGGTAGAAGCTAGATACTTACTGAGTTAGCCTAGCTGACCACTCAGTCTCCACAAACTGGAAGAGCTTTGCTATTCTCTACTTGGTAACAAAGCTGCAGACTTGTCAAGGTCTCAGCCATATTCCTCCCAAATGACAGTAAGTGTAACACTGATAAAAAGCTTAGTCTCTGAGTTAAAGAGTTTCAATCCTGGTTCCACCTTTTACCAGCTGTGACACTTTTAGCAAGTTGTTTAAACTCCCTCGGTTAGTATTTAATTCTAATCTAATCAATATAATATAAAATAAGAGTAGAGAATCCCCCAACAGAGAATCAAAACAATATAACTGCTTAGAAAAGATCAAGAGATAAGTAAGTTTTTCATGATTAAAGGTGATGCAGTTGGAGGTCACGATTAGAGATGACAATAATCTAGAAAAGCTTGGTGCTTAATAAGACTTTCCTTGATGATTTGTTAAGTAAAAGTTGTTTTTAGACAGATCTGGAGCCCTTAATCTGAAAAAACAATTGGGCTAAATAACTGTCAAATACTCTAAAATAGCTATGCAAACAGCAGACCAAAGGAAAGGAACAGATAGTTCTAAGAGGAGAATGGAGGTTGAAGAAGTCTGGAAAAATAGCTCAGTTCAACTGCAATATCTGGAAGGAAACTGTGATGACAAGCAAACACACTCCAGGATAGGTTTTGCCTTCCAAAGTTAGATTACACAACATTCCTCTTGGGGGTATCCACTTATACCACGCATTTTACATGTTTAGTAAAGGAAATAATTTTTCCTTGTTCTGAGGTGTTGGAATTATTAATCAAAGTAACAAGAGCTAAGGTCTATAGACACACTATCCTGAGGACGTTAAATATAGGTATGTGCATTATCTCATTGTCAAAATAATCTAAGATGCATCTAAGGATGAGAAAAGTGGAACAGGCAAAAACAGATGCTAGACCAAAACTATTTATATGTAATAAATATGTCAAAATTCAATTGATTCATTTTATATTTAATATATATAAATATACAATTATATGTATAATATAAAGCCCTTGAAAGCTGTATCTATATTAAAATCTATATTAAATTTATCCATTTTCCTTTTTTTTTCCTAACAAATGGAAAAGGCTACCCTGGTTATTGCATACTGGTCATATTAATTCGAATACCATGTGAAATCAGGATAAACTATCAAACTGTAAATGTGCAATCACTGGCAATGACATGCAATTCAGTGCACTAGTAGCAATCCCTGTGGCTTTGTCAGAGAGAAAACTGTAATGGCCCAATGTAATTTCCTTCAATGATAATGTGCCAGTCCCCGTAGATAACATAGCAACAGTAGACACAATCTCGCAGGGCTTCGGCAAAGCACTTTACATTGTCCCGTGACACAGTTACCAACATAATTTTGGACATAAGAATGGAAAGTGATCATATACTTTGTCAGGGATCTGCATGCATGCAGACTATGGCTATTCATGGTCCAGCATCAATGTAATTAAGTAATTACTGTTTCTTAACCTTGGTACTAATGGTATTTTTATCCAGATGATTTTATGTTGGGAGTGGGAGGGTGTTTTGTGCACTGTAGGATGTCCAGCGGCAACTCTCGCCTCTATCTGCTAGATACCATCAACACATCCTTCCTCAGTCATGTTAATCAAAAACGTTACTATGCATTGTCAAACATCTCTTGGGGGAAAGGGAGGCAAAACAGTCAGTGGCTGAAAACCACTGATGTAGGAGGATATACAAGATGACATTCTCAGAAAGAGGTAACTGACCTATTTAGTTTATCTACGGATGAAGAGAACGCTAGTATTTGTATGTCATAGTGCCTTAATCCGAATGGAAAAGGCAGACTTGGATGATGCCTTGAAAAACAGAGTTCTTGGTATAATGAGTGAAAGAAAAGAAGATATTCTAGGTTATGGTTACAATCTGAGCAAATTAAGAAGGAGAGGAATGTATTAGAGTATTTTGCCTTGTTATAAATCTGTTAAACACTTTATTAGATAGGATAATTCTTACCTACTGGATCGACATGAATTAATACTCAAAAGATACTCAACCAAATTTTAAAAAGTACAGTTTTATGAGAGAACAGAGAAAAAAAAAAAGGTGCCTACAACTATGAGAATGCCTATCAGTGCTGAAGATTAATTTTTCTAGCCTAACCCCATAAAAATCAAGGAAAATTTTCCACAGCTTCAATAACTA